AGCAGCGATTCGTTTATTGTAGATCAAGTAAGGGCAACAGAGGTTTTTACCATAAGCTTGGTGATGGTGACTTGGAGCTGATCGAAACTTTGAAAAGATTACAACCATCTATAACGTATCGTGCTATTGCAGACCATATCAATGAGCATGGTGAAGTTGTAGAAAATGTTTCGATCACTACTATTGCGCGGACAGTTCGAACCCGATTGTCAGGCGGCCGATGGACTTACAAAACACTAACACCGGTAGCCTTGGAGAAATTCACGGACGCTAACATAGCATATTGCGATGAATATGTAAATTTTCTGCACACCCAAGACCCAAATACAATTCAGTTTTTTGATGAAGCTGGCATCAAATTGAGTAAGGATTTGAACCCTCGCTACGGACACGCTCTAATTGGTGAACGAGCAGTCGAAATTCAACGGTATATGATGACACCCACTGTGACTTTACATTTAATGGTTAGCTTAGAAGGAATTAGTTATGCTAAAATTATACAAAAAAAATGTACATCAAAATACGGACACGGTGCAGTTCATTATTTTTTTTGTGGAGGCAGGCAACAACGTCCGCCCACTGACTCGTAGGCCAGTTTTAGAATACGGTAATTTCATCGTTGTTGACAACCATCCGACTCACCGGAATGATGGAGGTCGGCATTTGGGTGCATGGCTCGATTCAATGGGTATATATCTTGTCTACACACCGTATTACTCCCCCGAGCTAAACCCGGTCGAATTTGTATTTGGGAAACTTAAGAAAACACTTTCAAGTCCAGAATATAACGCGCTAGCCAGAATTGATCTTCACCTTGCCATACTGGAAGCATTACGAAAAATCAAACCATCCGATGTGCTGGGATATTACCGAGCTGTTGGGTTCTTAAATATCAATGCTGACGCTTAGGAACTAAACAAATGTTCCTGGTCACAATGTATAGTTGACAAAAATAATTAATGTCAACAATGTATTTTTCACAAAACGACTGCAATCCAAACTGCCACATATGGGGACTATATAACGATATATTGAAATATTTTGAACTAATAACTTTATTGAACTTGGTGTGAAAATGCACTGTTGTACAACACTTTACAATGTATTTTGTTTATGCTTTGTCATATTTGTATGTTTATTGTGTTATTGCTCTGCCAGCAAACAATTTACTTTGGGTTTCAAATTGACAATTTTAGTTTCAACTGAAAATATACTTATTCATTTTTTTCAAAACGCTCTTATCAAAACTATTTGCCATCAGCACAAATATGTTACAAAATAATAGCAAATAACACGAACTATCATTTATGCAAACAAAATGTCCATTCCCTGTCAACGATTTTAGTAACAAACTCACCAATTACTGTAACTATGAGATACAACTACGTATACGTAAAGTTGTGTCCAAAATTTACAAAAAAATATATTTTCCTGTGTCAGCTCAATTTATTTGAAAAATAATAAACATAATGATACTATATTTTACCATGAAAACAAAATATAGTCAGTATTCACAAGTCACCTAACATCCGAGCTGATTCATATAATTTTAATAAATTATTAGTTTCATCTCCCGGATCATCTTGTATCCCAGTGTGTTGGTTATTGTCACTTATCAACTCAATGCCAGTAGTGGTACTGTTTTCCGACGCTTGTTTAGTTTCCTTATTTACAGTATTTGAACTGACAAATTTCCTATGGTTGTCAATATTTGTAGGCTGAAAGGGGACGATACAATCTGATTAAAATCTGATGTAGTGTACGGGCTTTAGTTATTTTAGCTATAAACTTATTTTAATTTTATTTGTTATTACTTTTGTTATTAATGCCCTTTTATTTTATTATTTTACTTTGATTTTGATTTTTTTAATTCCGCCCTACCTACATCTGATCCGACGCC